GCTTTCGCCCATTAATTTCATTGAAATCACCCTAAATTATAAAATAGGACCTCCATATTTTTATTTCCGAAATAAAAATTCGTACTGTGGTAATGTGAATGTAATGTGACACTGTACACGTAGACGTAGTATACTTTTTGCTAATGTACATGACCGAGTTTGATAATGTAAATACATTTTAACTCCTATTTCGAGAATAAAAATATGAAAATCCTTTAACAATTTGAACATTAATTTCTATATGTAAACATAGAAATGTTTAATAAAATTTCAATATTTCGAAGATATGTATGTTTCAAAAAGAAACTATTGATATTATATTTATATCGAAACATAATGTATTTTTCCCGCATATCGAGGTCAAAGTTTACAAACCTTGACCCAGAAAAGTAAGTACAAATGAGAAAATTTCCTCACCTGATACCCACTGATATCGACGATCTACCGTACCCGATCGGCCACTGCCCCCAACTCTCATTAGCCATATCCCGCTGTCGGTTATCACTGCCTGTTAATAATATCTATCATCTCTTAAAATGTTTTTATTTTAAATTTCAAAATCAATATTACATTAACTTTTCAAAACTTACTTTTGCTAAAGCATGAATTAAACCCGTCCATGAATTGAACCTCATATATTTCCATAACAAGTTTTGAAACTTCCAATTAATGTGCCTGATTGAGTTCATTACATTATATGGATTAGCATATATATTAACCACTTTCCTGCCATCTTTAGCATAATAACAGGAATTGATAAATGATAATTACAAGAACTCATTTTTTTCCTTGTTTATGTAAGTTTTTTTTTTAAAAAAAAAAATAATATTTGAAGTAAAAATGGACTTCCTTTAATTTGGCATGTGAGGGTGGCAGGAGAGAAAAAAAATGTTGCTTTGGGTTTGAGGTAATTTGGGTGATTGCATATACTTACAAAACAAGTAATGGCCCCATTGCTAGGGTTGGACTTATAGAACACAATAAATGCAATGGAGTAAAAGAGAGATATATTAAATCATCACTTGCTAAAAATAGGCTAGCAATTTCAAAGGCTTTTCTCCACTAACATCATGCTTGCATTCAAATGGCAAAACCTTCTTCTAAACTTTGCTTTGGCTCAACATCCTCATTTAAAGATACATGTCCCCTCACTCACATGTTGCCCAATATTCCCTCTCCCATTAATTTCAACTTCTTCGTTTGCCACACACTTAGTGACCGTCCAGCCGATTCTGAAAGAGTTCTCGAGATAGGGTTCATCTTTTTTTTTGGTGAAAGGTTATTGTTGTACACTCTCGATTAATAAGTATATGGTCCATTGAAGAAAACTCATAAGCCTGAGGTTGATGGCACATTGCAAAATATTCAGGGGTAGACCTCGATCCATGACATGACCATGCACTCGGTCAGGGTCATCACTTGTAGACAGGCAGTTTGGTAGATCTGATCTGATTGTGTTTTGTTGGATCATACCTAAGATCAAGCTTGGTTGGGTCATCTGGTTGACCAAGCCACCATCTGAACATTAGCTGGGGGAGGAGGGCTTTTGGTCTCCGCATCTTAAGTCGTCCTCTTAGACCGGCCCAACAGTGCCTTTGTTTGAAGGTTGGGCCACTTCGGATCCGTTCATTTGAGTTAGAAAATTCCCTTTTATTTTTTTTCAATTCATTCCAATTTTTTCTAATTCCTTACCATTTCTTCTAATAACGACTAAAAAAAGTATTTACATATTCTTACTTGAAATCAATCACAATCTCCCCATCTCTAAAATTTGAACATAAACACCAAAAATGTGTGCATGTACATCATAGATTTAAACGCGTTCAATATAAACACCAAACCAGAATATATGTCAAATTTTCTTCTAGAGTTATGTCATTCCACTACAAATTAAAATATTCCCTCCTTCCCGAAATAAATTATAATTTTTTTCTTTCTTCTCGATAACTTTTGCTTGTTTGTGTGTTTTTATTGACTACTTGATAAAATAAAATGTTCTTATCACCTCTCATTTTATAGAGCTTTTGATGTAGTTTTTTATATATAATTTTTATTTTTTTAATGTACCAATTTGTAAATAAAATAATTTCAAAAGACGAGAGATTTTGCCTCGTAACTCGTAATTTGATTACAAATTAGGAACCGAGGGAGTATTTTGGTATAAAAAATTTTGTTTCAAAATTGAATGAAAGGTTAAAATAAAAATTTGATAAAATGATTTTTCTTACTCCCTCTGTCCCTGTGTGTTTGTCCACTTTCATTTTTGCACACCATCCAATGCACTTCTTTAATCCATTTTATCTTGTAATTTGTATATTAAAAAATTATAAAAATTATATATTAGTAACATATATGTTAAGACGAATCAAACAAGATCACACATGACTATTTTTAGGCTTACACATTGAGAGAATTTGATGAGTCAAAGTGCTTAGATAAATAGTTCCAAAAGTCAAAAGTGGACAAACACTCAGGGACGGACCAAGTATTTGTGACTCATGGAGTGAGTGATAATACATGGGCAGTGGGTCACGTGGCAACAACTTTGCAGAATGAACAAAATAATAGTGGGAATAAGCAGAGCATTAAGGTAAGCAACCTTATCTTTATACGGGAGCTTGTTTTCCGGGGTCAAACCAGTGACCAAACGGGTCACGTGACAACCATTCTTAGTTTATAGAGAGAGTATTTAAACAACAAAAAATAGGTGCAAGTATGGATCGGGCGCTCTTATATCTCGACCCGATAGAATTCAAGAATTGTAAGGAATAAATTACTACCTCCGTCACACTGTCTTTGTTCACTTTTGACTTTTGGAACTGTTCATCTAAGTACTTTGACTCATCAAATTCTCTCAATGTGTAAGCCTAAAAATAGTCATGTGTGATCTTGTTTGATTCGTCTTAACATATAGATTATTAATATATAATTTTTATAATTTTTTAATATACAAATTACAAAATAAAATGGATTAAAGAAGTGCATTGAATGGTGTGCCAAAAGGTAAGTGGACAAAGACAGTGGGACGGAGGGAGTATAATTTTATTTTAGATTAATGTTAAAAAAGATTGTCGTGTTCTTGATGTGTACAATGAATTGTCACATTTGATTAGACTTTTACGGTGTTGTTATCAGAAATCAATCCTGAATCCTCGAATTTAACACTCTGTGTCTGTGATTATCTGAGCTAGCTATATATGTGGACTCAAGACTTTAGAGGGTGAACTTATACTAGTTAGTCCATTGCCTTGCAACCCCACCACAAGAAATCTCAACCTCCAGCTTGGGCTTATGATTAGTGTACATCGTTTGCCCTACTCATCTATTCATACCTCAATTGGGGTTAGGATTTTTTTAGAGTGTTCGTACTAATCAAACTCTTAAACAGATAAATATGTGAAAATAAGTTCATTTTGTGAATATGATGACCCAAACTCAAGACCTCCCACAAAAAGAGAACTTTAAGTGCAGAGTGATTGTGGGAAGTACTTTAGAGAGGAGATCAGGGCATCCCTATTGGGACTCTAGAGAGACACTGAGGGAAAGTTTTAAGAGTCGCTTCTCTAGATTTTACTACTGACCAGGAAAGAAAATGGAAAAGTGTAGAGGAAAATTTTTAAAATCACGATAACAAAGTTTAAAAGAGTCTCAAGATTTCATGTATCGAGGATGATTTCGGGTCTTAAAATTGTACAATACATAGTATTGTTATTTAATTCTTAGGCCTTCATATTGGACCAGACATGTCCACACTATGAAAATCAAAGATTTAAAAAGTTACTACCGAATTACATTTGACCTGAAAAGTTAAATTATCAAGAAGGGAAAACTAAAAGAAATAATTATTTGCGGAAGCATGTTGGTGTAGTGACAAGGAAGCCACCCCACGAGAAGCTTTTCAACATCTAGTCTTCGAGCCCCATTCTTGTATTTAAGAGGTTGAAATCGTTAAATTGAACACATACTACATCGACGAGTATGTGAGCTACTAGAAAAATACTACGTCCGTCTTGAAGTGTTTGTTTTAGTTTAAACTTTTTGCAGTCAAAATTGATGAATTTTGATCATGGTACAAAAATAATTTTAAGAGATTTATTTGTAAATTACAGTTTAAACAAAAAATAGGTGGAAGTACGGAATGGACGCTCTTATATCTCGACCCGGCAGAGTTGTAAGGAGTAAATTACGGTATAATCTTTGATTGATGTTAAGAGAGATTGTCGTGTACTTGATGTGTACAATGAGTTGTCACATTTTATAAGACTTTCATATGTCATTGTCAAAAATCAATCCTGAAACCTCGAACTTAACACTCTGTCTCCATGACCATCTGAGCTAGCTATATATGTGGGTTCAAGAGCTTGAACGATAAACTTTTTATACTAGTTGGTCCATTGCGATTAGTTGACAATGACATATCGTAATGGACCAACTAGCATAAAAAAAAGTTTATACAAGAACCATCAAATTTTCCAACAAAGCACCGTAAAGACCTAAACTAAAACTCATGTCATTATATGACTTTGGTAACCAATATTTAATGAACCGCACCGTGATGCTCGATAGTTGAATCTAAATGGATTTTTATGTTTTTCACTAGGGCATCCTCAAAATAAGAGAGGAACCAAGACAAATTACAACTTACTATCCTCGCCATAAGTTAAAGCAACGTTTTGTATTGAATTGATCTACAACAAAATGGTATATAAAACAAACATGCAAGGTTAAACAAAACTTTACACCAACAACATAACACAGCATAATCAAGACTCAGTAGATGTACACAGTAATACTCTTATATAAAAAAAGAAGAAAAGATGTTTCCTAACCAAAACTTCATTTAGAGAAAGAAGGAAGATTAATGTCTAAAACATTGTCAATAATAATAATAATAATAATTATAATAATAACAACAACAACAACAACAATAATAACAACAATAATAATAACAATAACAATACTAATAACAACAATAATAACAGTGATGGCATACTAATACAGACTGCAAAATGCTCATTCAATTATCAGCCTATCACAGTTCAGAGCAATAATAGAGAATCCAACTTTACTTCTCTAATAACACCAGCAGATGATCCTATATTTTACTTCAATTTAGAAAGGCATGTATGTTTTATTATTTCTTCTTTAAACTTCACAGATCTTATATGACAACAAAAAAATCAACCTGGCATGATAACCGGGTTTGCAGAATCGCGCTTTTGTAGGATGGGTTGATTCATCACACGGATTGCAAGTTGTGCGCTTCCAAAGCATCTTGCAAGCACTGAACTGACCCGTTGTAGTTGAGAAAGCCCATGAACCAAAACTCATGGGTGTCCACTGATATGACCTGGATATATTTTTCTGAAGGATTCGTTCTGCTTGATGAAGGATTAACAGCCTTTAACTGATGCAAAGGGATAACTACCTATACACATTGTGCAGATATATATGTGAGATCTAAAGAATGCATGAATACAACAAACCAGTAGACCTTACCCCTACTCGAAAGTAGAGAGGCTATTTCCATAGGACTCCAGCTCAAACATTGAACTATTGAAGAATAGACAAAGTAGGTGTTTCACTATGCTTATAAGTTGGTCAAACTGCTTATAACATGATTTTAACTAATAAGTCAACAAATGACGTGTTTCTATGTGCTTATAAGCTAGAAAAAATAAGTAGGTCTTACTTATTTTTAAGGTAGTTTTTTTGTTTCTTCGTTTTTTACCAGATTATTTACAAAATTATCCCTTATTTATGATGAATATCTCCTGATGACTTATATATCATTTAAGTCATTTTATCTACAAGAAAAAATATTTAACCTACAAGCAACTTATAAGTTAAAACTGCTTATCATCGATAAGTCAATATACACCAACAAAAAAATACCCCCAAAGTAAACAATAGCACTAACAAAATAAGAGCACCAAGACACTAGCAACTAGGCCCAAAGCACAGAAAGCACGCATGCCCAAGGTACATGCTAAGATAAAAATGCAGCAGCAAAAATTACAAACTAAGACTTAAGGGTCTACCCAACTACTCTAATCCTAGATCTTCAAGTGTTCCTATCTAAAGTCATATCCTCGGTGAGATCCTGAAGTCCTAGGTCATATCTCAATGCATGAATGTAGTTGTCCCAAAAAGAATAACAAATCCAGCAAATATATCATTCTGAAATTGTATAGCCCTTCCTTTCTTTTCTTTAATTGTTGCTTTGGTGGTAAAATTATGTTATCAAGATAGCATTAATGGCTTACTTTTCACCATTACTCTTCTACATTCTTAGTATTTCAAGCCCTAATTCGGGTTGGATATTTTGAAGGGGAAGGAAGTGAGAAATACAGTATTTACACTATTGATTTATTCTTCCAGTTAAATGGTTGGAAAGAAACTGAAAATGAAAAATCATATAGAAATACACTACTATAGGTATTATTGTCTAAGACTAACAAATAGAGATATAAAAGTAAATATTAGCTCTCCCCTTTGAAATCCCCAACCGAACAAAACCTGAAACATTTATAGGATATCATAGGGCTATTACATTTTGTGTGTGTGAGTGGGGGGGGGGTACGCATGTGTGGGTGTGCGTGTATGTATTGCCTTAACTTTGAAAAAGTTATTACTCTGTATTTCTTACTATGGGTGCAAACACGTATAAATACAGTTAAATAAAATAGAGCAGATAAAGTAGCATAATATTGGATACCTAAAACATACCACCTAGCACTCTTGGAATTCAAAAAGTATTTGTAGGATAAAACGTGTGAAAGTTGAAGCGAATACCATAAGCTACTACTCCCTCTATCCCACAATGAAGTTTACACTTTCCTTTTTCGTCAATCCCAACAAAAAATTTACACTTCTCCGTATTTCTTTTAGGAAAAAAATTATGTGGCCCACAAAATTACTTTCTTCTAAACATATTCCAACAACATTTTTTCACTCTTCAACACATTCCTTGAACTCCGTGAAACCCATAAACTTCATTATGGGATGGATGGAACATAATTTCAATCTTTCCACTTTCCTCTGTGATGAGTCTCTAAATAATCTCTTTATTTCCTTTTATGAAAGAACTGTGGTTGATATTGATTCTTCATTTATTAACAAATCTCAACCACAGTTTTATTTTATTAAACAACTGAAATGAGTAAATAAGGACAGCAACAACGACAACAACCCAGTTGAATCCCGCAACATCAGGGTCTAGGGAGGTGTGTGTACGTAGGCCTTACCCCAACTAAGAGTAGAGAGGCTGTTTCCCAGTTAAGTAAACAAGGACACAGAGATTAATTAATGCTCCATACAAATGAAGCTTGTAAGATCAGAAAATCAAAATTGACCATTATGTAGCCTGGTGAATATTCATATGTTGTTAATCTGCTTGAAGAAGCAACTCCCAGTTGGTACAATCGCTAATTAAAAAAAACATTTTATGGGGATAAGGATAGAAAGGCTGGATACTAGTTTCCAGTTTAGAGATGAAGAATGATTAACAGTTGATTAAACAATTTATTTACATATTACAGCTCCCTACTCTAGTGGGATCTACCTGGGTTGTTGCTGTTGTAAATTACAGCTTATACTATGGGGGAGCTTGGCAATGACCTTTTTGGAGATTTTCTTTTTTCTTTTCTTTTTTATTTTTTTGTGAAAAATAAAAACCTTTTGGACTAAAAGAGCTGTTTAACTTAGGTCAAACAGTTATTAGAAGTGTTTGATAAAGAGCTTTTTGAGAGAGATTTATAGTCTCAAAAGCATGTTTTATAAATACACATAACAATGCTTGGAAGTCTACATACCAAATACCAATGGCCAAAGAGGTAGAAGGAAACATGTATACCTTATAATAGCTCCATTCTGTCTTATCACCGGCTTTGTATGAAAGAGGATTATCACTACAAAATGCAAGCTTTGCAGAAGAGACATACAAAACCCCCATAACTGGACCAGCTGATGTTGATAAGTAACAAGCAAATGAATCCTGAAGTTGCTCCTCGGGAACCGTCTCAAATGTTTGACGAAATATTTTCTCATATCCACCTTCAGCTAAAACTTTTGTCCCTTGTGCAAGTCTCCCCAAAGCAGCATCAGCAAAACTAGGCCCAGTTTTCACTATAAAAAACAATTAAAAAGGCTAGATATTTTTCGAAAAAATATTCTGGTTTCACAAATATTGAGATAAAATAACAGACAACAAGGTAGGACAATAGAAAATTTAAAGTATTACTCGCCCATGACAATAATATTAGAGGCTTACAGCATTGACAGAACAAGAGATGATACAAAGCAAAAACGACACCAACATATTTTTAGCTCTGATCACACATTCACACCACAAAAACAAGGAAAGCTGATATAATTCTCGGCTCATATTAGATAAAACAACAACATTACCCCAGTGCCTCAAAGGCTCCTGACCCCTATGTTTAAAACATAGAGCGGCTGTTTCGGATGACCCATGATGAGCGTCAAACGTTGCATTGACTAACTGCTACTTAGAGCGGCTCATATTAGATAGTAGCCTCAAAAGGCAAAAAGAGAAGGCCAAGAGGGGAGATAATGGCAAGCTAAATATTTCTGATGTCACTATATTCAGAAAATTTAAAGAAAATATAACTGATCTCTGTAGAACTGTTTGATTGATTATTGACTACCATTGTAACTTTCTAAGATGGATACACTAACCTGCCTAATATTATCCATGGGAGTACAGGGGTGGGTGTACGTACACACTACCCTACCTAAGATTCATAATCGGTATACTTCCACCGTCCCAAAATAAAATTCTCATTTGCTTTTTCATGAAGTTTAACAACAATAACAACAAAACCTTACTCCCAAGTAACTTGGGGTCGGCTACATAAACCAATAAGAGAATCAAGATCGCCATCCACATTACTATGCTCTCTCTATTTCTTTGTTCATTGCCATACTCTTGTCCACATTCAAATAAGTCAAATCACCTCCTCCCATGTCGTTTTGGGTTTTCCCCTTCCTCTTTAGCAAAACTCATTTGTCCATCCTTCAATTCTCTTGACTAGTGCATCATTAAGTCTTCTTTGCAGATTGTACATGACTACATGTCTAAACCAGTGCAGTTGACACTCTCCCAATTTATCTTCAATCGATGTCACTTCTACCTTATTTTGCCCTCGTTTTTTATTCAATCCATTCTAGTGTGCCCCGCAAATCCATCATAACATTCACATTATGTTTCCTTTGTCCTCAAAACATGACATCCCATAGAATCCCAACATTCTGTACCACACAATAGAGCTGGTCAAATCATTGTTCTTTAAAAGTGGTAGAACTTCCCTTCAGCTTCAAAGGTATATCATGACCACAAAAAATCCAGCTGCATTCTTCAACTTCAACCAACCCAGCTTTACGTGATGTTCAACATCTCCTCCAACTCTCCATATTTTTTTATAGAACCCAAATATCTGAAACAATTACTCAACAGAATATCTTGACTTGCTAGAGTCACCTAACCCTGAACCATGTTTCTGTCAGTACCCAACGTGCATTCCAAATATTCCTTTTTACTTATACTCAACTTTAAATTAGACTCTAGCATATTACTTCACATTTCTAACTTCTCATTGACATCCGCTCTAGTTTCATCTATCAAAATAATATCATCCATAAACAGCATACACCAAGGGACCTCATCTTCAATAGTCTTAATTAGCTCATCGATAACCATCACAAAGAGGTATGGGCATAATGCTGGCCTTTGATGTACTCGATAGAAATAGGAAACTCCCATCTCATTATTATACTACTTACATTTGTGCCTGCTCCATCATACATGTCTTTCGCAAAGCTTATATACTTTTTGGAAATTCCTGTCTTTGTCAACACCCGCCATAATATGTCTCGAAGACAGGAAAAGCCCCAACTTTCCTTTTATGGAAAACATTGAATGGCTCACAATCTTTCTCTCCTACGCATCACTTTCAACCACACATTTTCACTTTCCTTAAACTTTGTGCCAAGTCAAATTGTGAGCCTTTTTTTGGGACGGTAGGAGTAAGAAACAACATAAGAGCCCAACACCATAATTGTTGCAAAAAGTTTGATCGGTTTGAGGTCTTCAATTGGCCAAGACAGAAAGCGTTGTGGCAAATAATCTAAACAAGCAGAGACATGAGGGTTTCAGATAAGGATGGGCACTTCAGTTTGGTTTGACCAAACCACCAAACCAAATTCAGCGTAAGTTTTGTACTAATATTTTCCCCAAACCAAAACTGGCTATACAAAAACTGAATAAAAAATACATAGAACCTCAACGAAACACTAATAAACCAAAAACCAAACTTAAACTGGAGCAAACGAAATATAGATTTAATCCGGACTATAAATCAATATATCATCAATCTGTTCTAAGCCGGAACAAACTGAACCCAAAAGAATGAACCGCAAACCAAAATGCACGCACCTAGTGTAACTATGTTATGGATGAAACTCAGATGGCTATGCTGGAGATTAACTGAATCAAGTCTTAATGGGGTGGAAGATTGTTAAGACATTGACAATACTAATAGGCCTGATAGTTGAATAATAAAATTGATGCATTATGAACACAAAAAGAAGTTTCTGAAAGATGAAAAGAATGCTAAGAAGGTGAAGCAACTGAAACCATTCAGGTGGTAGACGAACAGATTTTGAATCTGCTATAATCCCCCGCCTAAATGATATGGCACATGAAGTGGTGGAAAAGACATTGCAACAGATTTCTCAAGATTTCTATTGGCCAGGAATGTGAAAGATGGTTCGTGAGGCCATCCACGACTGCCAGATATTTCAGCGCAAGAAATGGGTGGCCTTGCAACCAGCTGGCTTTTTGAACCCCTTGCCAATCCCAACTTCTGTCTGGGCGGACACTCAAATGGATTTTGTCAAAATCTTGCCACGATTCAGTGGCAATACAGCTATGTTGGTCGACTGATTCTCTGAATATGCTCACTTTGTGCCACTCAGTCATCTGTTCATCACCCCATCTATACCGGTCATATTCTTCGATGAGATAGTTCACTTGCATGGCCTCCCGGAGTCGATTGTTTCTGATCGCGAGTAGATTTTCTTTAGCGTCTTCTGTAAGGAGTTGTTCCACTAATGTGGAACTAAATTGGCCTTCACAGTGACTTGTCATCCACAGTCTCATGGGCAAACCAAGGTAGTCAACAGGACTCCCGTAATGTACTCATGGTGCGTAACTGGTGATTTCCCGTCACATTGGGGGAAGTGGACAGTGGTGGAGCACGGTAACAACAGTTTCTTTCACTCTTCCCTGAGTGGCATGGAACTCTGCGTGATTTACGGCCGTGCACCTCCCTTTCGCTCTACTGCACTGGTGGCTCGATGCGGGTTGATGCCATTGATCGGGACCTGCAGGACTGTGATTTCATATCGCAAGCAGCCAAAGAGAAGTTATTGGCAGCTCAGTCACGCATGAAAAATGTCTATGGCCAACACCATCAGGATGTCAAGTTTCAGGAAGGAGATTGAGCATCATTAAAGTTGCAACTGTATTGCCAGTTTCCGTTGGCCGGAATGAATACCACAAGCTCTTACCACGATTCTTTGGGCCATTTTGTATGTTTACCGCCAGATAGTTGCATCCATAACACTTATCATGTCTCTCTACTTGACCACACTGGGAACTCCACCAGCTGCATTGCTGCAAGAGGTTCCCTCCCGGCCTCCTGCCAGTCCAGGAGAGCAAAATCCTGCCAACTCCAGAAGCCATTGTGAAAACTCGTATGCACAGAGGTGCCAAAGTAGTTCTTAATCTGTTGGGAAGGGAGCAGTGATTCGGAAGCTACACGGGAACCTCCCTAGACCATGCAGGAGGCGTATCCCGGTTTGAGCTTGCAGACAAGCTCAATTTCGAGGGGGGGGGGGAGTGGTGTTACCGCTCCCATTGTGTGTATCCAGTACCACCGCAGGAAGCCCAGCAACACTGATGGATACTAGTAGTCATATTGTCTAAGTATCCATTATAGCATTCCTTTATTACTATTACATTTTCATACACTGTTATCATTCCTAATTGGTTTCCTAGTCGTATAATGATAGTACTCTTCATGTAAGGCTATGCCTATTTATATTCCGCAATATTGTCAATAAACTCTTTATCATTGAGCAATCCTAATTGAGAACTTGTCAGGGACAATTTCCTTCCTCTCTTAGCCATGGGCAAAAAGGAACTACCCTACGTCTTCTTCTTCCTTCATCAGCCGACTGGGGGCACTGTCTCTTAGCAGCAGCATTTATAGTGAACCACAGAAACAACTCTTATATGATCTACCCCTACTTTTCTCAAACTCTCCACCACTAATATCTCACACCTTACACCCGAGGCATTAATGCTCATGCGTAAATCCCCTTAAACTCGATTCACGCACCTTATTCTCCCAGATATCTTCACTTCTAGCCTGATCCATTTTGGTGTCCACCTAAGCATTGTCATCTCTAATACTCTCAAATTCTTCACCGTGTGTGGTCTTAACTGGCCAACGATTCTATCTCATTTTAGCATAGTCGGGTTGATCACAAGTCTATACAAGAGACACATGTCTCCTATGTGTGATTGTAACATGCCTTGGGGAGCTAGAACACCATTGTGTTTGGGCCCTCAATAACTATGGTGTGATCGAAAACGAAATAGAAAAAATGGCTAAAATTACTTCACATTCAAAAGTGACAGTCACTACAGCTGAAAATCCCCACCCACACCCACACACCTCAATCACTATTGAATAACTCTATCGTTTTTTTATGAGGCACCACACACATTACACATACATTGGCAAGGATTTTGAAAGTAATATCGGATGTGAAGTGTACATTCATGCAATTATCGGCTTCTTGCAAATAAAAAATAACATACGGTGCTGCCATGTGTTCCCTGCAAGATCCTCAGCCTTCTTCGTTGCTTCTCCTACCTTCTTCCTCCATCTTCCCAAGACATCTTTAACATTATCCATTGTATCTGAAATCAATAGCTCGATATCAATGCTAATTCCATTATGAATACAAAATTTCTCCATCAAATGAAGCCATTCACGCAATCATATTAAAGCCATCAATTGTACAGAAATACTATTCATTCTCGATTCAAATTAGATCAATGCAACAGCTTGCAACAATAAGAGCTTGAATGTGAAGTCATAGCCTTTAAGCAATTGTGTATGAATTAAAAAGGTGCTCTATAATTAGGTATACTTGTGAAAGTCACAGTTCAATAGAAAATGTTTCAAAAGAGATACAAGGAATTTGTATGCAATGGAACATCATGTTTATCATGCTGCTGAGAGAAAGAGAAAGTGAGATGGACGGACTTTTGAAATTGGATGAAGATGGATTATCATTTCCAGAAGCTGAAGAATAACCGACATAAGGATTTGAACGGAGGTCGTCGGAAGACATCGTCCGCGGTATCGGAGATTCCGTCACCAATTCTTGGCTCCACCTCACCGACTTCTTCGATCTATTCAAACCGTTCGCCGACTTTCCCCTCTCAATCTCTTTATAGTTCTCCTCTAAAGCCCTCGAATCGTCGAGAAGCGGCCCCGCTTCACCGACTGAATCCGGATTCAGAACCCGATCCGAGTCCTGCCCCGAACCCTTCGGCTCCGCCTCCGCCTTCTCCGGCGCGGCTACTGTTTTTTCTTCTCCTCCGCCGCCAGACTGGTCCATCAACCTACCTGCGAGATTCGTATGAAACGCGGATTGCGGCGGCGGCGGCGCGTGAAAGTTTCCTCAGCGGTGTGATAACTATTTCGAGGTTGAAATTCGTAACATTTGACTCTATGACGGTGAATCGTCGGAGTCGATGGGGTAACCGGTTAAAGCGGTGAAGACCATACGGTGGGAGGTGAGAAGGTGACCGGCGAATTTAACGCGCGAACGGAGCTGTTTTGGGTCGTCGCCTGTGGACTTGGTAGTTGGAAGAAAATGAGGCGCCTAACCTTTGACTATGGTGAAATGGGGGAAAGGTAAAGGAAAATCCCACTCCTTATCAAATTTGGCCAAATAAATTGAACCTTTATGAGTGATTTTTTATTCTAAAAAGGGGTGGGGGACTACAAGGAATTTTGTGATTATAAATTGGAGAATTGACTTAAATAACACTAAAGCATAATGACTTTTTGTAAATAGTATCACATGTGTTTTTCTTTCCAATGTAGCATTTTTAGTCATTATGTATTAATCATTATTTAAATAAATATTCGTCATCACTGGACATTATAAACATTATTAAGTGCTATTTAAAAAATGAAACAGTTTAAGTGCTATTTAGAGAAATGACTTAAGTTTTAGTGTTATTTAGTGCAAATATTTCTTATAAATTTAGGTTTATTTATTCTTATTTTTTTAACATTAATAAGTGTACCAAAAAATAGTAACCAAGCTCATAGAGTTCAGTATGATGATATGTTGATAGTATTGTAACTATTAGAGAATGTACATCTTTGATTTATGATAATATTAGAAAATCCCACTACTCATTGGTTCACTCTTCATTGCTTTCAAGTAGCCGTCATTATTCTAGTGTATGTTGATGGTATTGTAACTATTAGCAGATGTCCATCTCTGATTTATGAGATTACTCAAGCTATGCACTAGATATTTGTCAGAAGGATTTGGGCCATTTAATTTTTTTCATCGACATTGCAGACCAACGTACCAATAATGTTATTCTTCTTCATCAAACAAGATATATTGTCGATCTTCTCACACGGGCATGGAGGACAAATTGCAAACCTACATAAGTGGCAGTTTGGACGGCTCTAGCCTCGTTCATACTATTCTCAAATCCTACTCTTTTTCATAACATTGTTGGTGGCGTGCACTATTTAGTTGTCACTTATTTAGATATACGACAGTATACAACTAATCAGATGTCTTAAACCATGAACAACCTGATTTGACTAAATTACCAAGTACTGAAGCGCATTTTTCGTAACTTGGTACATTGCATTATCGTCTTCTTTTTTAGAAAGGGTATCTCGACCCCTCTCTTTACTTTTATAATGATGTTTGGACCAATGAAAAGGGTGATCAGAAATTCAATGTTGGTTGCCTTCTCATGTCTCAACCTCATTTCTTGGTATACAAAGAAGCAAACTTGTGTTTCTCGATCCTCCACTGAGACTGAGTATCGCATTATGGTTGTGGGAGTGGTAGAAGCTATGTGGCTAGACTATATTATTGATTTCCTTGGTATTCCACCCCCTAACCCTTATCTATTGTGAATTTGAATCAACTATCTCACCAAACATTATACCTTAGAGTATTTTTCGTTATCATATAAAGCATGTTTGATTCAGATTGTCACTTTGTACGAGGCAAAGTCATGACTGGCACCATGCATGACCACTCATCACGCACCTTTTATAGAGCTACTTGCAGATTTAAAAAAAACTACTCCCGTCGATTTCATTTTAGTATATGTGCTCCAAATTGCTCGTCTTCACCGTTGATTAGTTTGTGGAGAGACAATAGGGGATATACTTTATTTTACTTACTTTCCATATTATGTTGTTATCATTTTTGTATTTATATATATTAGAGTTAATAATCTCTTTATATAAATACTGGTGGAATATAATCTTCTACTTTATTCAATAAAATCAATAATTACCAATTATCAGAGAAATTTGAAATAATGATTTTTAATCATTATTGACGGGAGTGGCCAAAAACATGGACGACGATGGTCGTAGTCAACGGTTGAAGAAGACAACAAACAAGACTAATCTCTTTGTTGATGCATCCCAAATTCAAAAAAAAAATCATAACTTTCTCTTTAGAAGGGTTTTGATATTTAGATACATCATATCTAAAATATGTCTAGACTTCACGTTAGAATATAAAAAAACATTTCGTGAGAGTTGGAAAAGAACTATGTTGCATGAATGCGTGTTAGAATCAATACACAAAAATCATTATGACCTTTAGAGATATCAAAATCAATATAGCTTTCTCACTAAACATGCTCTAAACATGTGGTGCATAATACTTAGTATATATGATTTGTATTTTGCATTTGGAAATTGAATGTCTTAATGAATAATACCTATAATGGATTTCAATTCACTATTTCATGTGTCAAATTTTAGTTCCTTTGAATTGACTTATTTTCACAATTTATTGTATATTACACTACTACCAAAAGGTCAAATTGATTACATCATTTGCATCGGTTTCATAATAAGCCGATGTAAATGAGATAATAAATTTCTCTAATCGGATGTATTTGGATCGGTTACTGACAGTAACCGATTCAAAAGCCTTTTGAATCGGCTATTACTAATAACCAAATCAAATACTTCTGGTCTTTTAAATCGGTTATTAAAAATAATTGATTCAAAAGGCTTTTTAGTCGGCTATTGTTAATAACTGATTTAAAAGACTTGATAGAAATAAGTCAGTGGGGCCTTATCTTTTTACGTGATTTTATTTTTTATTCGTCGCTATCATCCCTCGCCGTCGTCGTCCTCACCGTAGTCGCCTGTACGCCGTCGCCTCCTTTCCTCGTCGCATGTTCGCCTTCACCGCCACCGTCTTCCTACTTCGGTTCGTCTCTCCAAGCACGCCGTCCTTCAAACCCTAAACTTGCAATCCTTCCTCCAAGCACGCCGTCATATTCTCGCGTTGGCATCCCGTCGCCGACGCCACCTACCTAATGTCGCCGACGCTATCTCCAATATTCTCTAGTGTCGTCATCGCCACCGCCGCTGCCCCCACCTTTAATTCGCTATATATTCTTATGTATTTTTTCAAATTTTTCACTTTAAATCTTAAATTATACTATTATTAATTTGTATATTTTTGTAATAGTTGAATAATTGATGTTATATCATAATTCATTTTAATATTTTTTTCTCTAAATCCTAAATATAATTTTAATTGTTTGTATATATTCTTGTATTGATAGAATATGCGATGCTATAAATTGTTTAATGTATATTCTTGTATTAATAAATATGTGATGCTATATTATTTATTCTTTATATACTTCTTTGATGTTAACCAGAACATGCATTAAATATTATTTGTTTGTTGGAGCTACATGATTTGAGATTCTTTTATGTAGAAATAATATATATCAACTAACCTAGATACCCGTTTAAAATTTACTTCGGGGGAAGACTTTTTGAATCGGTTGTTTGGTAACAACCGACTCAAAAAGAACTCGTCTATATTTTATAAATCGCAATAAATAATTTAATTGAGATGGAGTGAAGAACGTAACATTCTACTTGAAGAAATTCACAACTCTATCAACAACGTGACTCACATGTTGATAAAGTCCATAAATGTAACCAAACTTTTCAAACTCAAAATCACTAGCTTGGGAAAAATGTTACCGTACCTTTGAAAGACGGACAATTAGAATCATACAAAGGCCTTAAATAAGATTCGACTTTGATATTGACTATTTGGTCAATAATTCCAATACCCAAAATACGTGTTTTTGTGTAATCCATTCATCTCTATTTTAGTATTTTACTTCTCTTCTAAATTTGTAATCTCTTTTATTGAAATGGTTAATTTAAATAGTACTTCTTTCTTCCCAAATTATTTATTTTAGTATGATTTAATTTTGATCATAAATGGATTCAACTCATTTTTTTAAAAACAAAAAACTTCGGCACATCATATCTTACTTTTACCTATCACATTAAGAGTATTTTTTTTGGAAAATTAACACAAAAATGTCTCTGCCTTAATTCCCTTAAATTCTTTTAAAAGTTATTAAAGGAAAAACTTTAAGAGACGGATGGAGTATTGGGTCTATTTGGAAATATCATTATAGATTAGCATTTTAAATAAAATTTTAATGGTGCAGATTATTTTGAAAGCATTAACGCTAAACACTTCGCGTAGATAGTCTTTTCAAAATGCTAACGCTATTCTCAAACAGGTCCATTATAATTTTTGTTTAATTTAGGCTCAAAATTTATATTATTTGACTTAAAAAATTCAAACTAGATAATTACACTGAAACATGATAACATGGTGAGTGTGTGGTTGAATTGGTTGGTGACAAGTTTGCTACAAATAGTTGGATTGTGTACTTTAATTCTTAATATCTCCTTAAACGGCTTAGATTAATTATGGTATTAGCCACTCATATATGAGGTCAACAACGTTGGACCATTAGATGGCATGCAGGTGTTGTCGTTATCCAATCCTACGGAGTGGGCCCCGCCATCCACCAAGTTGTCATGTGTGACTACTGACCTTAAAAGAGAAAAACAAATTTCAAAATTTGTGATTTTCATTTTTTCCGACCCATTTTAATTGTTTTTTGTACTTATTATCCTCCGTATATAGTACCAGTGGAAAGAAAATCTTTACTCTTTACTGAAAAAATTGTCCGAGTTTGATCATGTCAAATTATTGCAATCTTCAATCACAAATTAAAAACGGAGTATAATTTTATATAACCAAATATTATTAAAATATGATATTTCAAACTTATATTTTAAAATAAATTTAATTTTTCACAGTTTTATTTAATTTACATTATATTTAAATATTTTATTATTATAACTGTGACAATATTTTAGGGACAGAAAAGAATATTATTTGGTGGGTGCATGTATGTTTCGAGTTTTGGCTGATGCAGAAATTGATGGCCTTGAATTGGGCTATGGGCTGGGACCAAACTGGAGCCCATAATAGAGGCCTGATGGACCAAGTCCGTTATTTGTACAAAATTAGTTCTCATATCTAGGATCTACGAGTATTTCATTGGTACAAAATATTTTTCAAAAAAAATTATTTTCCTATTACTCCATTCGTCTTAAAATGATCTTCCCAGTTTGGTGTAAGAGATTTGACTGAAATTATTTCTAATCCAATTTATTTGATTATATGTGCAAAATTAAAAGATGAAAATTATATATTTAAAAAT